ATCGGGCTATAGAATTATAGCCCGATCGGGATATAGTGTAAAATATGTCCCGATCGAGCTATAATATCCCGATTGGGATATAATTCTATAGTCCAATAGGGATATATATCCTGATCGGGATATGCTTCTACACTGCCCTGTATAGTTGTAAAATTCGGAAAAAAGTATTAAATTTTGGCAAAGAAAAAAACTTTTTCTTGTTCAACTAATATTTTGACCTATTTTAAAAAAGATTCTTAATAGTCCGAAGTGTTTTCTTTCAAACAAAATTCTTTCATAACACCTCACCCTCACCGCCTATTCAGCGCCCTTAGAACCCCTTACCACACAGTGAGCAACTACCCAAAAATGTAACGGTAAAGCGATTGTTAAACTTACGTTTTCTCGTTGTAGTTTATCATTTGTAACAATATTAGTCAACGGGCACATTGGATTACGACATAATGGACATTCTTTCACATTAGCTTTAACACTATTTATACATTCAAAATGGAATGTATGATCACATGCTGTTGTGAATAATGGTGAACCTTTGATCATTAGATTCAAACATATTGAACATTGAGCTGTACTGCTTGCCAACATAATCTAAAATGCAGTATGTTCAAAGATGAATATGAAAGCAAAATAAAACTTCCTACGCATTATATCATTGAGCGACAAGTCGTTAATGCTCCCCCCCCCAAAAAAACTGACTTTTTAGATCAAACAAGCATTATTGAGAAAAATGCATAGAAAGATACGTTAAAGTGTGTAGATTCAGAATATATATTATTTTTATCACTGTGAAGCATTTTTTGATCCAGAACTGGCACTTATTTTGTGCTCCTCTCCCAAAAAACACCGATATTTTTTTTATGCCTTTTCCAAACGTTTGATATGAATTTTCAAAGTCTTGCTAGACAGTATTTTTTGAGCCATCAGAAATATAAAGCAAATATCTTTCTAGAAAATGAGATGTCGAAGAGTTCTGGCCCGATAAGACTGTCGTGAATTTGTTGACTTCGGTCAACATGAGAAATTAAGAGTTCTTATTAAGAATCATCTCGAAAATTGATAAATAAACATTTGATCAAAACGGATAACATTGAAAAATCAGAAAATAATTTATCCAAAAAAACGGCTGATTGTCGTCCATATATCCAACACGCGTCTAACGTTTTGAGTCGAAAATTAAATAAAGTCACAAAAACTATTAAATATGATATTGGTTTAAAAGTTATTTTAAAGCCACCTAAATCTGTGAGTAGTTTTTTTCCAAAACAAAGATAAAATAGAAAAACTCTTACAATCAAACTTGGTCTATCACATTAACTGCAAAGACTGTGACAATAACTATGTCGGTAAAACAATTCTACAATCAGTAAGACGTTTAATTGAACATGGCGCTTCTGAAAGTATTGGGGGTTTCGACCAGTTATCAAATGCATCTATCGATAATACTCTTGACAGTATTTCCATTTCTAAGTTATCTTGTAATATGTCTTCTCAAATAACAACTCTAAATGCTTTTCAAAGAAAGTCTAAAAATGGTAAAAATCATTTTCGCCATATCAAAATGAATCAAATTTAAAATGTTCTTCCCTACTTGCCAATAAACGGCCTATAGCAAATAAACAAGACCATGATGAGACCGCTCGCGTCATGGAGTCGAAATTATCTGACGTAACAGTTTCTAAGCAAAATTCAAAGTCTACTCTTCTAAAACAAATTTCGGATACAAATCATACGATTAATTGGGAAGGGTTTAAAGTTATATTAATAGATTCAAATTGTTATCGGTTACTACCTCCAATACTTTTAGAAGCGCCATGTTCAATTAAACGTCTTATTGATCAATAAGTGATTCAAAGACGGCCATGGATTGCTTTTTGGACTGATTATTAGTTTTTAGCATGAAGGCATTGCTAATTACGAGTTTATATCGAAACCAAAACAACTCTAGAAAAGTCACTTTTAGTGTCACTCACCCCCAATGGGTCAAAAATGACCCAAGTTGTCCTGACGAACGCTGTTCCCACATCGGTAATCAAGAAATTTTCAAACGCTTTTCAGCAAATAGATGACACCTATAACAGTATATATCAACCGCCTAAACGCAAAAGTAGTCCATCTGTGCAGTTAAAAAAAAAAAACAGATTTTTTCACTTTTTTGAAAATCCATCATTTTCAGACTCAAATATCTTAGGTAAGCAGTGATGAAAAACAAATTATTTTTTACGAATCTATAGCTTATTCAATTCTCTACACAATGTTCGAACAGCTTCTTGATCTCGGATCAAGCATCGGACCGATGCTTTGTTACTCCACTATGCAGTTTCTACAAATGGGCCGAAAAAGGGTTGCTACTGGTTCCAGAAGGATAAGGCATTTTAACAAAATAACATCGCAAGGCCTTTTTGACCTGTATAGTCTGTTTTATGTTCTTTATTGTACAAAATATGTTTTTCTCTCTCTTACAAAGAATGTTTACTTCTCTTTTTCTCTCTCTCTTACCAAAAAAGTGTATTTTACTCCCTCTATGGATTTTTATTCAGTCATATTTGTTTTAACTTTACATCGCGTTAAACGTTTCTATTGTCTTGAAAATGAAAATGAAAATTTTCGAAACGTCGTCTTTATTTTTATAAAAAATATTTTAATGTTTTAATTTTAATTTTTATTGAATAAGGATGAATCTAAAAGCAACAACTGTTATTATTTTATCAATTATAATAAATGTTTTTGTCAAACTTTAATTCAAAATCATATCGTCAATTGATCATCAAGTATTATTTTCACAAAGAAAACTGGTTTTGTGTGATATATAAACAATTTTCAAATGACTTATTTGTACGATATTCATTAGTATTTTAGATTATTATAAAATATAATAACAAAAAAAGCAAAACAGATGTAATCTTACCTTTTTCTATTTATTCTTATAGTCGCGAAACGACTCCTTTATTATGATGCAAAAAAAACAACTTGTGAAAGACACTTCATTCATGCCACTATGGACTTATCATTATCACTGTTTTCATCCTAACAGGTTTTTACTCAGTAGCAGTGACACATAGACAGCTTCGTAAACACTTCACCTTTTTCCATATCTTTTCTCTTTATGCTGTCTTTTTCTTTACGTCATATGGTCCACAGTTATCTAAACAATAGTTTAATGATACTTTTTTAAATAAGTACCTTATACTCTAAAAAAAAGACGTATCTTACAAAACCGAAAAAGTTTTTACTTTTCGTCCCAACATCGAAAATGGTTCATTAAACAGATAATTAAAAATGTTGCCCTGAAATACCTCGACATATTAAGGCATCTTTAATTATTTGTCTAAGCATGATATTGTTACAACCTTCGGAATTGTTTAGCCAGCACCGACCTCTAATCGATGTGTTTTTGATTTTCTCGGAGGTGCTGTTCGTGTATTACTTGTTGTAGATCTTTTCGGCATAGGTGATTTAGTTTTAACTGTATTTTTAACTTATATTTATTATTTTAAACCTAGCTTAAAATAGAGAGAAAAATGAACGAATTTTTTCGAACAAGATTTCTCTTTTTCACTACTCTGACGACAAATTGAATTTTTCGGAAAGAATGTGAAATTCCCTTCTCACGAACTTACGTTCTCACTAAACCTGTCAGGACGGGATTATTTCAGTCAGTGGCCGCTATGGTGGCCACCCGTCCTGAAAGGGTTAAGAATCTACATTTTTTGATAATCTCTCTATCGATAAAAATTTGAATATTTACCACGGCGTTATTTTAGTTTAATGGCTTTTCTAAGCGACCGTAGCTCATTTTCAGGAATGCTTTTTTACAAATATTTTTAAAGAGTCGAATGGTTTTCTAGCTTTGGTAAAAACCAGAAAGGTTTTTTCCTAAACGCATTTGGTTTAGGGAACGCCGTTTTTGGTTCTTCAAGTACACGCTTAAAAGAATGTGTTCTTCCGTTTTTCAGAGAACTGAAAAGTCAACGGGAATTTGTTTTTCATTTGTCCAAATAGGAAGCTTGTTATAAGCTTTATTTGGTAAGTATGATGTCTTGTACCAAAAAAAAGTAAAACACGACAGAACAAGAAGAAAGAGACGAGTCTATTATATCCTTTTGTTTTGTCTATGTTACAGTGCACAAAAAGAAAGAAAAACGAAAAGAGGGAAAAAATGCATCTGAAAGCGAAGAAACGAACTATGGAGAAAAGCAAGTGCAGGAGAGAGTGATGGTGCATCGCAGAAAACACAAGTGCGATAAGTAGTACTCAGAAATGTTGCGTATTTTTGATCTATTCTACGATTATTTTATGTAGGTGCATAAAAACTTCACGTCTTTTTCTTGAAAACTCGTTTTCCCTGGAAGGCCCGATGCTTGTCCATGCTCGTGTTCTTTCCCTGAAAGCAGGATGTTTACCAACGAGTACTGTTTCGTTTTCCCGGGAAGGCTCTGCCTTTGTCCACAAAAAATTAATCATTTTTAATCAGAACGCGGTGTTTCTCCACAGGAACTTTATCGTTTTCCGTTGAAGGCTTGATCTTTGTCCATATAGATTCCAACGAGTTACAAAGAGATTTGTCCAGAAGTATAAGGAATGAAACAGAAGAAATTATGTGACTCCAGCGGAATAGAAATGTGATAAAATAATACAACGATTGCGCCAGTGACGGATCCAGAAAATTTTTTCGGTGCTGGCAGATTTGGACAAAAGTGCAACCTTACCTAGGAGCTTCTAGACGACACGATTTTTACTTCTTTCCCTTTATTACTATTCCTGGCTTTACACGGGATAGAGTTAAAGTAATATTTAAAATCTTAAAACAAAATCAGCAAGCCGTTTTATTCTAGAAAAACGGTCTATCACTTCATCAGTATTTATGGCTATATCTGAGTTTATGGTTAACATTGCCAATCCATTAGGACGATCTTCACACATAGTTGATCCTCAATATGTTTTTAGGTGTTTCAGTATGGAAAAACTTCTTTCACTGACTGCGGTTGTTTACTGGTAATGTTGCATAAATTTTTAATAATATTTTTATATAATGTTTCATATTAAAATGTTTCATTACATGACAGATAAACTTGCATAACATTACTAGGATGGTCATGTAGCTGAATATCTATCCATTTCTACCGATATAATAAAAACTCTTGTTTAATAACGGTCGTTGAATCATGGAACAAATCTTGATAATTTAATATAACAGTGATACACTTACAATATTGATTCCCTGCTTTGATACCCTAAGCATGATCTAGGGATTGAGGATTGGCACCAATCTTGTGATATTGAAATATTTTATTGAAATATTTTTTGCTATGTTTAATCTAGATTTGAAAAGCATTTTGGTTCATAACTAGCATTAGTTTAGTAAAGAGCCATACGGCTTTTGCATGAACAGTTATCATATTTAACTAATTTAGTGAATGTGATATTGTTTAGCGTGCTGTGATTTCAGACTGCTTTTTTTCCCGCAAGTTTCAGCACATTTATTATTTGAAAATGCACCTGAAAGTGGACATCAAACAAAGGCACTTTTTTTACGAAAAGCCTCGCATAGTATAAGAATAAACACTCACAACTTTCTCTTTCACTTC